AACGGTATTCGAACTCCTCTGTGGTTCGAAACTAGTAGAGCTGATCTCAGTATAATCACGTGAGTAACCCGCGATTTTAGTTAACGCCATATAAATTTAATCTAGTATGTCTCACGATAGTTAATATTGATAACATTTATTTTTCTTCTATGATGATCGCTCGTCTAATTTGAGTCTGATCATCGGCCTTTTATCCCTGAAGGGGTATGCAGAGTTGCACAATATATACGGCACTTAAGGCAAGGCCACTGTACAATGTAACGCCCACTTTTCATTATTCATATTATGAGTCCCGTGTAATAGCGGGTGAACCTATTGCCATATACCGGGGGCACAGTTCCAGACCCTTTTTTAGAGAAGAGAAAATTATTAAATGACTTTTCCCGCCCTGGGTGAGATGAGAGGGAGTGTCAGACTCTTACTGACTAAAAACTACCCCATTCCTACTCCCGCTTCGAGCTAAAGCCCCGGTAACCCGCTAAGTTGCCCGCAGAGGTATTAACAGTGTCGTATATCCAATAATCCTAATTACAGGTCTAAAAAATATCTCAAAGGTTATTACAGAAAACTGACTCAATTAAATTATTACGCTTCGTTTAATAAGTAATTATTTACTCTCAGAATTTCAGAAGGTCACATCTTTTGTTAGATAAAGTCCTTGTGCTTTGGCGAAGAAAGATATTCTTATGAAAGGAATAAAATTATCTGTAAGATCCTGAAACCTGAAAACTTTAGCACGGTTTGTTAGTTTTTTAAAATTTCTCTTTTAAAATGCGGATTAGTGTCAAACATGATAAATATTATAACTTACTAGCTTCTGTCCGCGACTTCGTACGCGCAATCTCGAAAAAAATTTAGGTATTCGCTCCGCCTCCTCCTTAGCTAGCATGAGGGAGGAGACGGCATCCCAGTCCTCCTCGCTCCATACAATGGTCTGAACCAGAGCCGGACGCGAGAGGTCGCCGTCGCCGATCACATTCCTGAGGACACGGCGGTGCTCAGTCCACGCAGGACACACCGCCACCGTATGCTCCACCGTGTCCTCAGGGCGGTCCTCGCAGTGATGACACCCGGGCGTATCCTCCCGCCCAATCCGAAACAGGAACCTACAGAAACGTCCGTGTCCGGTAAGCACCTGCGTCAGGAGGTAGGTGAGGACGCCGTAGCGTCTCTCAAGCCACTCCTCAAAGAGGGGAGTTACCGCTGCAATGACAGCGACTACCCCTAACATTAAGGGGGATGAAAAATAGATGTTGGCCCATTCTCATAGATACCGGATAAGCACAAAAATTTCATCAAAATCGGTCAAGCCGTTTCAGAGGAGTATGGCAACGAAAACTGTGACACGAGAATCTTAAATATTAGATTATTCATTGCTCACCACCAGAACAAGACATTGTAGAACATACTTTTTTAAAAAGAGTAACGAATGGAGTTTCTTGCTCGTTCTTCTCCATTCGAATCTACATTTTGGAATGAGCACCTAGCTTCACCTAGCTTCACTGACGGATTGACTGATAGACTTTTATCTACTGTGTATTTGTTGACGTTTCAAAAGTACCAAATTATGGTTTAAACTGTCAAACACCAAGCGGTCACCGGTGAACGCAAAAGATTGTTCTATTAATGTGTCTATAATGACGGTACTCGACGAGTTAATTGAAATAAATGCTTTGACTTTGACTTTGACTTCGAATTTAACTTTGACAGGGAACATGGTGGCCTTTCGTAAGACGTACTAAATTAATAATTATGTTTTTCGACTTACTCACGTAACTGTTTGAGGAACTCGACTAATTTCAAGCTAGCCCCTTAAGCAACACATTTTCCTGCTAGTCGCGACACACATCCAAACGCGGGCTCGATTCTCACACAGAACTACATTTAGTAACATAACATAACATAACATCACGCCTTTTTATGTAGGCAGAGGTGCACATTACGGCACTTAATGCCACTGTACAATG